AGTAATGCAAGTGAGTACCATTTATTAGCTTGATTACGAAACCCCAAGAACAAATTTACGTTTTTCGAGAGACGGTAAGAACAACAGAAGCAATTTATTTTCATAGGGGGGAAGAGAGGCAATCGGATCCCAACCCAAATTCCTAAGGGCAAACAGCAAGAATTGCTTCTCATATTCTCAAATTCATAGCACCTATATGGTGGAGACCACGCAACAGAAGCATGCTCAAGTATAGGTCTAACCAAACACATGTTCAGTCTTTTAGTAATGTAAGGAGCATCACGCTCTTTGGACCACCTCTTTATAAAACCAAGCGCGGACCTAGCTTTGCTTAACGAGAGCTCAATGTGCAAGTTAAAACGTAATCTATGGTCAAATAGAACGCCTTAATCTGTGAACGTATCGACGTCGTCCAACTTATGCGAATCAATGAACTACTGAGTAATGAATGATTTTCTTCTTGAGAAAGAAAGGTTCTTACATTTATTTAGATTTAGTTTCCGAAAATTCAAAGAGAACCATGCAACTAAATTATTGAAGTCACTTTGAAGGTGATGGGATTGCGATTCTAGAGAGAAGGAAGAAAACAGTTTCACATTATCAGCGTACATTAAGATCTGGCTGGAATTAACCACCGATGGGAGATCATGAATGTATAAACTAAATAAAATGGGTCCTAAGTGGCTGCCTTGCGGTCCGCCAGACGTCACGGGGAATTCATCCGAGGTGATGAAGTTAAACGGAACCCTGAAGGATCTATTTTGCAGATAAGAGCTTATCCATTTCACTAAATAGAAACGGTAGCCAGAGGCTTGGAGTTTAAAGATAAGTAAGTTATGGTTAACCAAATAAAACGCTTTGCTTAAATCAGTGTATATTACATCTGTGTGAGAGCCACTAGAAAAAGCATTGAAAACATGACAAGTAAACTCTAGCAAATTGGTGACCGTAGATCGCCCTTTCCGAAAGCCATGCTGGTGTGGAGAAATATTAATTAATGGCAAAGGCCACATGCTGAGTCACAATTCGCTCAACCAGCTTAGGCAAGACATTCAACTTGGCTATGCCCCTGTGGTTCTCAAGAGATTGTCTACTTCCACTTTTATAAATGGGAATAAGGAAACTACTCTTCCAACACAAAGGGAAAACACATAAATTCAAAGACCGGCTAAAAATTTTAGAGACAACACCATATAACTCTACAGCGCAAGATTTAAGTACACATGATGGAATTCCATCAGGTCGAAAATAGTTTGCTTTATTGATAATTTACACCTCTACCATAAATTTCTTATTACATCTTCAAGTTTATGGATCTTTTAAATTATGAATACGAGATTGCATTACTTTTCTGAAAATTTTCTAAATTTTGGTAATTTTCGGTCAATATATTGACCAACCATATATGCAACTTTACGTTTGTCCTTCAGAAAATTGTACGCGAAGTTTAGGATCGCACTATTAGAGAAGAGTTTTTATACGATCCTACTAGGTGGTTATCGCTTCGTAACCCGTATTTTACCCGTAATTACAGGGCTTGTTGTAATTTCGTTTTATAACAGAAGGGTTTACGAAAATAGCCTACAGGTTTTCGACGATGATCGAAATTTATTTTGAAGGGGAGTAAGTTCGATTATCTCTATGGTACAGGGGTAGTTGCTTGTATTGTATGAATGTCGTTAAATTTATTTTATTTGTGAGAACTCATTTATTGGCATTATCTCTAAACTTCGCTTATTATTCGTTTATTAATCTACCTTTCTTCGGCATCGCTAATGGATATATCGGTATAAATGCCTTTATATTTTCTTTACTTGTTAATATTGAAGTATTTAAGTTTCAGATTATCTTTAGATTTCGTTTATTATCTCTTTATTACCTGTTGGCTTTTTTCCCTTTTTTTCGAAAATAGTTCGCTTTCTTGACTAATTAAACCTTTACATCCTTTACAGCATCACATCTCTATTTTTTGATTATGCTTGTTTTTAATTAGAAAGGGGAAAACCTAAGCTTTATACCCTTAGGTCAAATCAACGGGAAACATAAACGAAGCTATCTATAAGATCGATTTATTTTACCCTTCAATCTTCAGTTATTCCTTTTACCGATTTGCGTCGCCTCCACGAATTGAATTTCAGGACGAGAGGATTTTAACGAAAGCACGGTGGCTCCAGAATGATGTTGGAAAGGGAAAATGGTTTACGAACCTATGTTAGAATTAATTTGCGATATATTTGGAGTCGACGATAAGAATAATTCCTGCCTACGTCTATCCTACCTGGAAACGTTTTGTCAAACCCTTTCTATTATTATTACTACGATTGGAAGTATCGATTAAGGAAGATATTCGGTTTTTTTCGACTGTTTTTATATTAGTTTAGTTTTTTTTTTGCGACAACTCAAAGGGGTTTCACTACAGCTTGCTAGTCTTTTACTTATTTTGATTTCCTTTTCTTCTCAAAATATGGTTTTGTTCTTTTTTTTTGCTTTCAAAAGCCCCTCTTGATACTTCGTTTTTTCCGCACAAGCTTGTATAGTTTTCACTTAGATTTTTTGATTTTTTTTTTTGTTCTTTTTTCTGCAGGGTTTGGGTTAACTATAGAATGGCGTTGTATTCACGCTGTTAATGCTTCAATTAAATTATGTTGTTTAATTGTCCGAAATATAGAGCTGAAAAATTTCGATAAAACTTTCACTTTTCTTTCCGTAATTTTCTTCTTTTTTTTCACCGATTTTTTTTTTTATGTAAAAAAGTCTCTACTCGGGCGCTGCTTGTGAGGGCTTTGCGGTCCACTCTCTGAGGAAAGTTTATTTATTGAAATATTTAATTTTTTCAAATTGTCTTTAAAACTTCGCTAATGGTTTGTTTATTTACCGTTTTGCTTAGTATAAGTACAATAAAACAAACAAGAAGAAAAAAAAAAGAAAAAATGCATGTACACAATCAGCATAGAGCCACACTTACAAACGGTACAGGACCAAATTGCAAATGAACGCCTAAGCCATCGAAAAGATGCATAAGCTTGGCAACCGATAATAGTTAACAACAATTCACTTTCAAATCGTAACGACTTTTTAAGGTTAAAAGCTAGTTTAAGTACGACATAGGTAAATCACGCGTATTGAGCAATGTTGCTTTAATGGACTTTAAAGAGCCCGATAATGAGAATAAGTGATAGACGTCATTTAGGCTCTTGCAAACAACTCTGAGCGGATTAAACAGGTCATAATTATATTTACACTGACTAAGCCTAACTAAGATAAAGTGCCTCGAGAAGCGGCTAGGGATATTAAAGCTTATTTCACCAAGTAATGAAGGCGAGTCAATAGCACCATTTATTACTTTGGTAACAAAGGAAACGCCAAGAACAAACCTACGTTTGGAAGTAATTACCGTTTAAAGTTCATTATTATTGCAATTTTTTCCATTCCCACTGTGATAAGGAATTTTGGAGTGCTGCTAAAATATGTTGTCAACCGAGTGTGATAGCAGAATCACGTGAAAATGTAATAAATTTGGTATTACTATCATTGAAGACGTTATCTGTAGACAATGATGAAATTCTATATCCGAGTACTAGAGGTTGGCTATGGCTACCTTTTTTTTACTGAACGGTATCACCGTATATGGATCCCCACGTACTACTATTGGAATGATGTCTTTAGTGCGCTGGTACAACTGTGTAATGCATTGAATGCTCTTTACTCAAAGGCGTTGTTGACAAATAGAAGAGTCACTAGAACTCTATTGTCGACCCGATCGTTGGCAATAGTCCCTAGCTAGAAAGGGACGCACGTTTATCCTGTCGTAAGCGCTGATCATTTAATTGTTGGAGCATAAAATGATGCTATTATTCTTCTTAACTTGGGTTTTTATACAAATTTTTAATGTTTTTACTTAACTTAAAATTACGCGTTTGTGTGTTTTACAAAAGAAATATTACAAAAGAAAAAATTTGCAATGTTTGCAATTTTCATACCATAACTAATTTTGGTGAAATCATTGCTGCTTCACACTTTTTTGTCAAACAGTATACTCCGAAATAGTATTGCTGCATATGTTTTCAGTGTATTACGACAGTAGAAATGCGACACATTGTTAAGCGTGTCATAAAAGTAGTGAGATGGTATATGGTCTGGGCTAGATGGTCACTGCACCGAACATATTGTACTTTGAATGCGTTTTAGTACTTTTTGTATAGATACTGTACGCATTGTTCAAAAGCTTATGTCAATTGGTGAGGCAGAGAATGGAGTATGTTTTATTTTCCTTGTCTTGCAATGCATCAAGATTTTAATGTACGTAACTTAATGTTTTTGTGTTTTTATTAGCTTTTATTAATTTATAAATAACAAATAAATATGTGCTTTTATCATTTTTAATTTTACAGTTAGATAAAATTGTAATAGTTTTGTTAAGGTACGACAAGGCGAAGTAGTGCCAAGCACAGTAGTAAAGCAAAGGATAATACTTTGAATAGTGAATGTGTAGCCAGTTTTTTGCAATAAAGCTCCGAATGTCGAAAAAAAACGGTAAAACCAAACTTATATGTGGTGTTGGATTTTAAAATATTGTAGTCGTTATTTTCAAGAGTAGTATTATTGCTGCTGCTATTGGTATTGTAATATTGACCACTAATTTCTTTAACATTCTTAATTAAGCTCCTTAGTTAACATATTCATTCATTATTGTAAAGTAATAAGTGTTACAAATATTTGGATTTTACTGCTCTTATTTTATTTTGTCTGCCTTTAAATATCGGGACACGACTAGTTCCTAACAATAACGTAACTTATTTGTAATTTAAGAAAGACCCATTTTTAATCGAAACTATTTTCCTCCATTTTGAATAGTTGTGCTGTTAGAAACCATTTGTATATACATATGCATATATGTATGCATATATAAACACATATATATCGATTCGATCCAATTGTAGCGTATTTCTCGTTTCTGTTGCAGTTGTTTATTCTCACATGCGCTGTGTGCCTTATTATTGGAAAGTCAATATTTACAAACAACTTGCAGGAACGAATTAAGACAAAATATATTATAAGAAATCTGCACTAAGTATTAATTATTTCATTAGTTTTATAAAATACACTACCAAAATGAACATAAATTTACCGAACTTTAACGTGAAGAACCTTATTAAAGAAGCTGGTCATTCCTTATCACGAGCAGTCCAAGTATGTCAAAGTATATGTGCACTCGTAAAATATTTGTATACTTCCAAATGAAATTATAATTTGTAAAAGCAAAACTATACACATGCAGCTAACTGAAGAAAAACTTGGAACAACCGAACGCACTGAATATGATCAGGAATTTCAAACCTTAGCGGAACATGCCGATGCAACTAAATTGTGGACTGAAAAAATCGTTAAAAACACGGAATCGGTCTTGGTGCCAAATCCTCAAAATCGTGTGGAAGATTTCATATTTGAGAAAATCGATAAATCAAAGCCCCAACGTTTAAGTAATCTGGAGCACCTGGCTTTGGACATGATTGAGGCAGGTGGAGATTTTGGTCAAGATGTGCCATACGGGCAAGCTTTAATTAAAGTGGGCCAGGCGGAACAAAAGCTAGGTCATTGCGAACGAGATTTTATTGGTTCTACCAGCATTTGTTTTACTCAGCCATTACGAATATTTTTGGAAGGAGATATGAAAATAATTACGAAAGAAAGGGGCTTATTGGAAAGCAAAAGGTAATTTATTACACAACACCAAAAACGACAAAGTGATTAAAAATATTTAGAAGCTTAATACTTTAAACGAAAAAGTTTAGTAAAAGGCCATGGATGTCTTTAGCGCTATTGCAAAACTGAAAGGGTTTCATTTATTTAAATTAAAAGTAATGCCTTTTAAAATTTGCATTAATAAAATTCTAATAAACTGTGAGTTATCTCAGTTGCGTACGTTTAAAACCCCAAAACTGTTAACTTTCGCATAATGCTTTTTCTTAACCTTAACTTTACCAAATTTATTTTATCCTTTCTAAATGCAACGAAGATCTTTGACAGTTTATTTCTTTATCTGCGACAGTTTTAATTGTTGGCGCGACATTTGAGTACAATTTCATTTCGGCGGGTGTTACGAGTTAGGAATATTTATATAGAAAGTAATAAAAACGTGAAGAAAAACTCGTTTTCGGACAGAACCAAGCTAAAAGTAATGAATAATACTTATTTATTATATTTTTGAATGTTTTGAGAATTTATGCAAGAAAAATCTAGTATTTTCCATGGCCAAAGTCGGTTCTACAGGTGCACTGATCCCAAACTTCATTTGTGAAATAATTATGACTATTTTCATAGTTTTTTGGTCTTTACTAAGTAATTGTATTGTTTTTTACACTCACCACTGTAAGATGGGGATGTACTCATTTTGATTTTTTCCAAAATATAGGTAAGACGCAAAAGGGACCCAGAGACCCTTCAAAGTATATATATATTCTTGATCAGCGTGAAAACCTAAGTTGATTTAGGCATGTTCGTCTGTGTGTCTGTGTGGTCTGTTTTGTAGGTACTTTCCTGGTCGCAAAAATGAATATACCGACTTCAAATTTAGTAGAAACATTGGAAGTTTCTGCACGTAGGTGGGTATTGGAAATGGGCTAAAGTTGTCAGAGCATAAGCGAGCAGTAGAGCGTATACTGAACACAACTCAGCTTTTCTAATTTTTGGAGTTTTGCTCGTGAGCCCGAAATTATTAAATTTGGAAGGCTGAAAATTTCGACATTTGCTTTACACTTTACCCTGTAGGTCCAAAAATGGAACCAATCGGCTGTGTCCACACAAAGTTACGAGCAATGAAGTTTAATTTTTTTCACTTTTTTTCACTCATATATCTTCATTTGAGGAGTTTGCAAGACAGCTTTAAATACGATGTTTTGTTTTCCTTATGATAAATAAGCATTAAATCTACGTAAAAATGAGATAACTTTAAAATGTAAAATTGTAGATGAAACTAATCTCTATGCTATTCATACAAACTCATTGAGTTCTTTCGTGATAACTGCTTGCGAATTAAAAGAATTCATTATTATTTTGTTACTTATATCAGGTGAACATCTTCTTACTGTCTGCACCTATTGAAAAAAAGATTGATATCACTTGTTCGAAAATAGCGCAAGAGTATAATATACACATGAAAGGAGTAGACTTGATGGATACCCATTTAGAATGCTATCGTATAGTAGTCAAAAGCCGAAAATTATACCTGCACCTATTCTATCATCTATCAATCTTAGTGTGATAAATGCGTGGATACTTATGTAAAACAACTCCATTGCATAGAACATAGCAAAAAAACAAATATCAAATCTTGCTCAGTTCCGCAATGACTTTGCTGATGCTCTTTGTAACGTGGAGTCCCATATAAACGATAATAACATAGGTCAGACCAATAACGGCTCATGAGCGCAAGATTTGCAGGCGAAAAAGCCTAGCGTGTCATCTTGTCCTCTGCCGTCCATTGATGTACGAAAAGACGACGTTGATTGCTGGCTGACATTTTTAAACATATTGAGGTTGAAAATTCCACAATGTAAGTTATGTAGCAAATGTTCCTTTCTGTGTAAAAGATAAAAATACGTGGTCAATTGGGAAAACCCAAGGGACAATTGTTCGTGACGATGAAGACGAGCATCACCATGTTCTTTTGAAAATTAAAGAAAAATTCATACGTGATTTTCGTTTTTTGTATTTTTTCCATTAACTGCATCCGTTTCCCGGTTGATTTCAAATTAAAATTAACTTTCCTACTTTTAAGAATTTTCTAGCAAATGAAAGGTTGGAGAATTCATGAAAATCCTGCTTTATTTATTTCCTTACAGTAGAACAACGAAATAAGTGTAGACACCCTGCAATGTTGTGAGACTGATTTTTTGCATTTTTGTCTAAGTACCGCAGGGTCATTCATACACTTGCAAATCTTTTTAACGTTGTATCTGTTATAACTTATGGGCAATGATTAAAAAAATTCAATTATTTTCTTCAAAACAGAGATATTATCAGCTTACGTTGGGCAGCAGGCATATCAGTTGACTAATTCCGTTGTTTTCAATACGTCGTCGTACTAAATTAGAAATTTATTTATTTTATTTATTTATTTATTTATTCTACTTATACTAGAAACTCAACTAAACAAATAACAGTCGAGTTCAATTGGCTCATAATGCAAAACTTATATTAATTAATAATAAAATTTAGTATAAGTACAATAAAACAAATAAGAAGAAAAAAAAAGAAAAAAAAAAGCATGTACTCTATCAGCATAGGGACACACTTACAACCGGTACAGGATCAAATTGCAAATGAACCCCTAAACCATCGCAAACATGCATAAGCCTGGCAACCGATAATAAATTGTCAATAATTCATTTTCGAAACGTAACGATTTTTTAGGATAAAAGCTAATTTAAATACGACATAGGTAAATCGCGCGTATTACGCAATGTTGCTTTAATGGACTTTAAAGAGTCCGATAACGAGAATAAGTGGTAGACGTCATTTAGGTTCTTGCAAACGACTCTGAGCGGATTGCACAGCTCATAATTAAACTTACACTGACTAAGCTTAACCAAGATAAAGTGCCTGGAGAAGCAGTTAGGGACATTAAAGTTTATTTCACCAAGTAATGAAGGCGAGTAAATGGCACCATTCATTACTTTAATTAGAAAGGAAACGCCAAGAACAAATCTACGTTTCTCAAGAGACGGTAGGGACAGCAGAAGCAACCTCTTTTCATACGGAGGAGCAGAGGCAACCGGATCCCAACCCAAATTTCTAAGGGCAAAAAGCAAGAATTGCTTTTGAACAGATTCGATTGAATCTACGTAGCACCTATATGAAGGAGACCACACAACTGAGGCATACTCGAGTATGGGTCTAATCAAACACATGTACATCCTTTTCGTAATGTAGGGATCATCAAGCTCTTTGGACCACCTTTTTATAAAACCAAGCGCGGACCTAGCTTTGCTAATCGAGAGCTCAATATGCAAGTTAAAACGTAACCTATGGTCAAATAGAACGCCTAAATCTGTGATGGAATCGACATCGTCCAACTTATGCGAATCTATGAAATACTGAGTAATGAATGACTTTCTTCTTGAGAATGAAAGCTTCTTACATTTACTCAGATTTAGTTTCAACAGATTCAAAGAGCACCATGAAACAAAATTATCCAAATCACCTTGAAGGTGATGTGATTGCGATTCAACAGAGAAGGAAGAAAACAGTTTCACATCATCAGCATACATTAAGATCTGGCTGGAATTAACCACCGATGGGAGATGGTTAATGTATAAACTAAATAAAATGGGACCTAAGTGACTTCCTTGAGGTACGCCAGACTTAACGGGGAATTCATCCGAGGTGATGAAGTTAAACAAAACTCTGAAGGATCTATTGTGCAGATAAGAGCTTATCCATTTCACTAAGTAGGGTGGGAAACCAGAGGCTTGGAGTTTAAAGACAAGTAGTTTATGGTTAACCATATCAAATGCTTTGCTTAAATCAGTGTAAATAACATCTGTGCGAGAGCCACTAGAAAAAGCCTTGAAAACATGACAGGTAAACTCTAACAAGTTGGTGACTATAGATCGCCCTTTCCGAAAGCCGTGCTGGTGCGGAGAAATATATGAATTAACGGCAAAGGCCAAATGCTGAGTCACAATACGCTCGCACAACTTGGGCAAGACACTCAACTTGGCTATGCCTCTGTAATTCTCAACAAATTGTCTACTTCCACTCTTGTGGATAGGAATAAGGAACACGGTGGTGTTTTCTCTTCCAACACGAAGGGAAAACACCTAAATACAAGGACATGTTAAAAATCTTCGAGATCACACCACATAATTCGACACCGCAAGATTTAAGTACACATGATGGAATTCCATCAGGCCCAGACGCACAACTATATTTTAGAGAACTCAACCCTTTAAAAACATCATCTTCCGAAATAACCAAGTTAGGAATTGCAACCGAGTTAGTTATAGGATATGGGTAGTTTGCTGATAAATCGAAATTAGGAATGGAAAAGTGACGTCGGAAATACTCAGCAAATAGATTTGAGATTTCAAAATCATCCGAGGAATCAGAGCCATTAAAAGCAATATGAGAGGGATATGTGGAAATTTTTCTTTTAGAGTTAACAAATTTAAAGAAGAATTTAGGATTAGCAAACAAAGAGAATTTAATGAACTGAAGGTATCTGCAGTAATAATGATGGTTGAGGGAGTTAAATCTATGCCTCGCCACCGAGTAAGCGACTTGGTCGAGCGCAGAGCCACTTTTCGAATATTTTTTGAATAGCGAATTTTTTCTATTCTTGCGATATTTAATTGTCTTATTAAACCACGGGGGACACCTGCTTCGAGGTCGGCAATGCTTGATCGGAACAGATGCAGCAATAGCTAGATTTAATGTATTGTAGAACGATGAATAAGCTTTCAATACTACCTGTTGAGAAATCAAGGGTCAAATGTGAAAGACGATGTTTTAATAATATAATATTGTTTTTATGAAAATCATAATAATTATTTAAAAAAGTTTGATTTGGCACATTAAGGCAATTCAACAAACCATCATTCATATGATGAAAGGAAATGCATATTGATGGATGATAAGGATCCTCAGGTAAACTAAATGTGGAAAACGATTTACGTAAATCTCGGGAAAATTGGCAAAGCAGAGATCAAGCA